CAGGCGAGGAAACAAAGAATAACTGGGGAAACTGAAACATTGAATTGGGGCGAACTTCTGCCCTAAAATCAAAAGGAAACTGAAGATAACAGCAGAGCGTCGCGGGCGTCGAAGTCGGGAAAAAGCAGAGTCGAACGCTGGGGCGAAAGTGACTCCAGTTCGCCACGCGGAGCCCCATGTACACTCTCCGGCGATATGAAAGACCCACTCGGAGCGCGTGGCAGAGGCGGTGGCTGAGGGGGGCGCTGCGCGCGCTTTGGGCAATTCCATGTCATTCAAAGGGGAGGCCTCACTCGGTGCTCAGCCGCGCCAGCTGGCGAGCCGCGTCGAGACGTGCTTAAATTTCGATTTCGGTTCGTGCTCGGTCAAACTGCGATACCCGCGGCATTTTTTTAACAAACTAAGGAACAAACGCGCTCTTCAACACATTTTATTTGTGCAGAACAGGGCATCAGCACAACTGTAATCTGTTTTAAAGCGCAGCTCTTAGGCGCCCGTTTCCGGCTTGAGCGGCGTCGGCGTCGCCGTCGCCGTCGGCGTAACCGCGCGGTGCCTTATGGGTAAAATTTCCCGCTAAATCTAGCGGAAAAATTTCCCCGCTAAATCTAGCGGAGAAATTTTCCCGCTAAATCTAGCGGAAAAATTTCCCCGCTAAATCTAGCGGGAAATTTTCCCCGCTAAATCTAGCGGAAAAATTTCCCCGCTAAATCTAGCAGAAAATTTCCCCGCTATCTCTAGCGAGAAAATTTCCCCGCTAAATCTAGCGGAAAAATTTCCCCGCTAAATCTAGCGGAAAATTTTCTCCGTTAAGTCTAGCGGAGAAATTTTTCCGCTAAATTTAGCGAAAACGTTTCCCCGCTAAATCTACCGGAAAAATTTTCTCCATAAATCTAGCGGAAAAAATTTCTCCGCTAAATCTAGCGGAGCAAATTCCCCGCTAAATCTAGCTAAAAAATTTCCCCGCTAAATTTAACGGAAAAATTCCCCCGCTAAATCCAGCGGAAAAATTTCCCCGCTAAATTTAACGGAAAAATTTCCCCGCTAAATCTAGCGGAAACATTTCTCTGGGGGGTCACGTGACCCCCCGAAGTCACATGACATTGGGGAGGGGGTCATGTGACCCCACCAAGGTCACGCGACCTCAGGTCACGTGGCCACTCCCCTCCCGTGCCCCCGAGGTCACGTGACCCCCCGCCCCCTCCCCGAAAACACGTGAACCTCACTATCCTTCCCTCCTCATCCTCAAGAGCTGCGCTCTAATTCGGCGTTACAGGGAGTTGTAAACGGCTTTCATTTTTTTCGCAGTGCTTCATTTGATAATTTGCAGAAAAAAAATTGATAAAAGTGCCCGTGATAACAAGACTTCATTCGAGCCTTTTTTACAATGCTCCTAGGCGTGCCGCATAAGAAGCGCTCTCCCGCCAAACCGAAATCAAAATCTGTTAAGCACGTCTCGGCGCGGCTGGCGCAGCTGAGCACCGAGTGAGGCCTCCCCTCCGAGCGAGATGGAATTGCCCAAAGTGCGCGCAGCGCCCCCTCAGCCACCGCCTCTGCCACGCGCTCCCAGTGGGTCTTTCATATTGCCGGGGGGTGCACATGCGTAAGCTTCTGGAATAATCGGCGTAGAATGTTCGACGCGTAGAACATTCGGACCTCGAACACGCCCAACAGGATTCTCGAATTTACCAGAAAACTAAATTGCAGGAATAACAAAAGGTGCGTCGCTTCCAGGAATCGAACCCTGGCTTTTCGCGTGAAAGGCAGGCACGATAACTGTAAGGTCACGTGTGCGCTGACTCCTTGGCCAGCTGCGCGCGCGGCATTACTCCGCCCTTTTAAAAGTGCATCGCACCGATGCAAGATGCGATGCAACACAGAACAAAACAAAGCAAATAAAAAGAACGGTAAACTAAAGAGTCATTTGGAACACATAAGGTCCACAGTCCTATCAAGCGTAGTACGGCTTCAGGAGCACGACGGGGACAACTTCAGGTCGTGGTGGGCGGCGTGATGATGTTCTTGCTCCGTCGGGCATCCCCTCGTAGTTCAGATCTCTAAGTGGACGAAGTACCTTGTAGGGCCCGAAATACCGTTTCAGGAGTTTCTCGCTAAGACCACGGCGGCGAATCGGTGTCCAGACCCATACCCGGTTCCCGGCCTGGAAGTGGACGTCCCGACGACGAAGGTTGTACCGGGTAACGTTGACACGTTGTTGATCTTCAACAACGTTCGGATTCGGAGTCGGGCGAGCTGGCGAACTTCTTCAGCTCGTTGAGCAACCACTTGGGCGTCGGGGCTTCCATCGTCAGCTGGTTCGTGGGGTAGCATCGCGTCGAGCATGGTCGTTACTTTCCTGCCATGCACCAACTGAAAGGGTGTCACCCTGATGGTCTCTTGCACGGCGGTGTTGTATGCAAATGTAACGTACGGCAGCACCTCATTCCGTGTCTTGTGCTCCACGTCGACGTACTTGGAGATCATGTCGGCGATGGTTTTGTTGAGTCTCTGTCAGCCCGTTGGTCTGCGGGTGGTACGCCGTGGTGCGCCGGTGGCTGGTGTGGCTGAGACGAAGGATTTTTTCCGTCAGCTGGGCCATGAACCATGAACCACGGTCTGAGATCAGAACATCGAGAGCGCCGTGCCGGAGGACGATGGGTTCGATGAAAAACTGTGCGACCTCTACAGCAGTCCCTGAAGGAAGGGCTTTCGTTTCGGCGTACCGCGTGAGATAATCTGTGACGACGATTATCCATCTGTTTCCTTGCGTCGATGGTGGGAAAGGACCAAGTATATCCATTCCGATCTGCTGGAACGGCGCGGTTGCGGAAGCAATCGGCTGCAGGAGACCTGCCGGCTTCGTCGGCGGCTTCTTGCGTCGCTGGCACTCGTCGCATGATCGAGTGTAGAGGTGAACGGTCTTCGGTTGCCTCAGCCAGTAGTGCTTTTCTCGAATCCTGGCGAGCGTCTTGCTGTAGCCAAGGTGTCCAGCCGTTGGGTCGTCATGGCATTCTTGGACGATTTCTTCTTGAAGGCTAGAAGGAATAACCAACAGTCACGCTGTGCTGTTGTTGACGAAGTTCTCTTTGTACAGCACCCCTTGCCGTATGGAAAAGGTAGGCAGGATTCGTAAGAGAGCACGGGGAACCGTACTCGCTTGTCACTCTAGGTGCTCAATGAGCGCTCGTAGTTCAGGGTCGTCTCGGAGTGCTGCCATGTCGCTGACATCCAGAGCACCGAGAAAGCCCTCATCGTCGTCCTTTTTGGTGCAGGCAGGAGCGGCCTCGACTGGGGCCCTTGACAGGCAGTCAGCGTCATTGTGCTTCCGGCCGGACTTGTACACCACGGTCATGTCGAACTCCTGCAGTCGTAAGCTCCACCGGACGAGGCGTCCGGAGGGGTCCTTCAGATTCGCAAGCCAGCAGATAGAGTGGAGGTTCGTGACCATGCGAAAAGGACTTCCATACAAATATTAGCGAAACTTTGTTATTGCCCAGACGGCAGCCAGACACTCCTTTTCAGTCGTTGAGTAGTTCTTCTCCGCCTTAGACAGCGTCCGACTCGCGTATGCAATGACTCGCTCCGCCCCGTCTTCCATTTGGACAAGTACCGCGCCAAGTCTGGTGTTACTGGCGTCCGTGTGTATCTCTGTTTCAGCGAATTGGTCGAAATGGCCAACGGTCGGGGGCGTCTGGAGTCTTCATTTGAGCTCATCGAATGACCGCTGGTGTTCTTCTCTCTATTCAAACTTTACGGCGTCCTTCGTGAGGTCCTTCAGCGGTGCGGACAGCTGGGCGAAGTCCCGAACAAATCAAGTCAAGTCAAAAGTCTCTATTTTCTCTCCGTTTGGAGAGGGGAGGCAGAGAAAAAAGCAACTCAGTGTTGCTCTTTTCTCGTCTGTAGTAGGCCGAGGAATCCTCTCACGGCCTTCTTTTCAGACGGCTGCGTAAATGCAGCTACGGCGGGGGTCTTCTCGGGGTCAGGTAGAACACCTTTGTTGTTCACGACGTGGCCGAGGAACTTAAGTTCTCCATAGGCGATTCGACACTTCGTTGGCTTGAGTGACAGGCCGGCGGTATTGATGACTTGAAGCACGGCTCGAAGTCGTTTCAGGTGCTCGTCGCAATCTCGTGAAAATACCACGACGTCGAGAGGTAGACGAGGCAGCTCTGCCATTTCAGACCTGCCAGTACAGTGTCCATGACACGCTGGAAGGTGGCTGGCGCTGTGCAAAGCCCGAACGGCATCACTTTGAATTCGTACAGTCCGTCGGGAGTGACGAAGCCAGTTTTCTCCCGTTCGCGTTCGTCGACTTCAATCTGCCGGTAACCACTCTTCAGGTCCATCGACGAAAAATATCGGGAATGGCGCAGTCGGTCTAACGTATCGTCGATGCGGGGTAGCGGACAGACGTCCTTCTTCGTCACAGCGTTCAGTCGACGATAGTCCATGCAGAACCGCAGGGTTCCGTCCTTTTTCTTTATAAGGACGACTGGGGACGCCCATAGACTTCTTGAGGGTTGAATGATGTTGTCATCGAGCATTTCCTGGACTTGATACTGAATCACCTTCCGTTCCTTTAAGGAGACTCGATACGGCGACTGGGGCGACTGGTGGACAGCAGTGTTGCGGAGTTGCCACTCCGGAGTTGGAATGATTCCGGAATCACTCCGCATTTTCGCGACCCCGGAATGGAATGCGAGTGGAATGGCGGCAACGTTGATGGGAGTGGAATGAAAAAGGAATTCGATGCCTTTTGCCCGGAATGGAAGGCGAATGAAATGATCCCAATTATTCTTGTTATTTTTTTTGGTGGTTACTTTTTGCTAAACCGAGCCAGTCAGCGAGTGAGTTGCTCTGAAATAGAATGAGCGGGAACCTGCCAGCATGCTGGAGCCGTAGACGTATACCCAAAACAACAAAAAAAAAAAAAAGAAAAAAAGAAAAAAAAAAAAGAAATGCAATACTAAAAACAAGCGTCACAGCAAAGACCAGGTGGGCTCGGTGGCTGTGCTACAACACAGGCCACTAATCCGCTTGTCTTCGCCATGCAGGTTTTTGCTTCGTTCATCTCCCACGTGCTGTTCCCTACACTGCTGACGGCTCTCTCGGACGACAGTCCGGGATGTGCACTCCTCTCGCATAGACACAGCGTGAATGGCTACTATCTGCCGTCCGTCAGTGAGTCATCACGTCTGGCTGCGCCGCCACTGGAGCACTGGATCCTCGACCAAGCATGGAAGGCACAATCGACACCGACACGTCTAGACGCCGCACCTATAAAGCAGCGACGACCACCGGCGGCGCTCTGTGGCCTCGGTGGCTGTGCTAGAACACAGGCCACTAATCCGCTTGTCTTCGCCATGCAGGTTGGTAAACCGTATGGTCTTTTTGCTAAGAAATCTAGCAACTACTTTTTGGTGCAGCTGCCGAGCCCGCAGTGTTGCCTTGCCATCTGTGCTGAATGCGTTCATGTTGTCCGTTTTTTACTGCTGCTGTCAGGCGACGTAGAGACAAACCCAGGGCCTGACAATGCCGTGCTTGTTGAACTGCAAAAACTGTCTACCGGTCAGTCTCAATTACTTGCTGAGGTACAAGGCCTCAAATTCCAACTCCAAACAACCGACAAAACAATGTCTGAACTCAGCAAGCGAATGGCCGAACTAGAAGGCCATTACCAAAGCCTTGCAACTGTGCGAACTGAACTAGAGACAACCCGAGCCGACACCGCCCAGACGGCTCGCCAGGTCTGTGACCTGGAGGCTTGTGTGGACGATGCCGAGAATCGCTCCCGCCGAAACAACATGATTTTCTATGGTCTTCCTGATCCCACTGCCTCAGAAACGTTTGCCCAGTCGGAACAGAGAGTCATTCGCCTCTGTTTTGATCTCTTCAACGTCACTTTGGACCCTAAAGAAATAGAACGTACACATCGCCTCGGGCGTTATACAGCTAACCAGTGCCGCCCAATAATTGTAAAGTTCGCCTTCTTCAAAACCAAAGAGTTCATCCTTTCAAATGGCCCAAAGTTGAAGGGCACAAATTACAGCATTGGCGAGGACTTCTCTCGTCCTGTTCGTAACGCTCGAAGGCACCTTGTTGCTTTTGCTAAAACCAAATCTGCCGCGTTTTCTCTCCGCTACAAAACCCTGTTCATCGGTTCTAAACGCTATATTTTTTATGAGGCAACAAAAACTGTAAAAGAAATAGCATAGCGATCACCCCGCTATCAGCGAGTAAAAGAACACCTTCAGACTACTGCCCCAACAAATCTTTCTTTTTCTGCAATCTTTACTAACATACGTAGTTTCCTTCAGAAGTGCGAACTCGCGTCCAATCTTGTGTCATCATCTGCCAGCAATCTACTGATATTAACTGAAACATGGCTGACTAATGACGTCACAGACTTTGAGGTGTTGGCTGATCTACCGAATTTCAACCTCTTTCGTAACGATCGTAAGGGCACTCGAGGGGGAGGCGTCCTTATTGCCGTTAGCCAACATTTGTCATGTTCTGTTCTCAACATTATGTCTGACCTAGAAATATTATGGCTTATCTGCCAAGTAGCTCCTCAAACGGTTCTACTCGGCGTATGCTATAGACCCTCGCATAACAGTCCCGACTTTCCCCTTCAGCCCAATAACATCTTAAGTCAACTTACCGCAGAACACCCTAACGCACATATCGTCCTTTTTGGAGACTAACTACCCGAGCGCTGATTGGATTAGCTCGTCAAATCTAACCGTGGGTAACGCAGAAACGAGGGAATTTATGGAAGTATGTCTCAACTTTAATCTCACTCAATTGGTATCAGAACCAACACGCATATCAAACCAATCTGAAAACGTTCTAGACCTAATACTAACAAGTCATCCGGACAGCTTATCATCTACTACTTTCCTCCGCGAAATCAGTGACCACAGAGTTATTCACGCTGTTTTCGATTTTCTTCCGATAGCACGCCAAACATACAAGGAAACGATCCGTCTCTATGATAAAGAAAATTACGACGCCATAAATAATGAATTGACCACGTCTTTCAGATCCTTTGAGTCATCTTTTCACGGCCGATCCATAAACGAAAATTGGTTGATTTTCAAAAGTAAGATAAAAGAACTGGTGAATAAATTCATTGCGAAAGTCAGTTTTCGCGCCAATCGCCAAAAACCATGGTTCACCAAAACTCTGAAAAGACTGGAAAATAAGAAAAAAATACTATTCCGTGCAGCCAAGCAAAGGACAACCCCTTGTGCGTGGGACAAATACTATGCAGCTGAAGACGCGTATCTGTCTGCTATCCAATGCGCTAAGCGCTCTTTATTTCACACCTACCTACCAAATATCCTACTCAAAAACACCAGGAAGTTCTGGCAAATTGTAAACCCTCAGCAGACGCACACTGCTTCCCTTAGAAAAGAATCGGGGGAAGTTGCTAATGATCCGGAGTGCGCGAACATGTTTAACACTGCTTTTTCACCAGTTTTCACCGAAGAACCGTACACGTCATTTCCCATGTTTGTTACTAACATAGTGACAGCAATGACCCCCGTCACGTTTTTCGCAGGTGGCATTTCTTCTGTAATCGAAAATATCAAACTGTCATAATCAGCCGGCGTAGATGAAATGACCTCTAAATTCCTAAAAAACACTGAGTATGCAGCGCAGCGTATTTGTGCTTACTGTTCACTCAGTCCCTCACCACAGGCATCATACCCGAGGACTGGAAAAATGAAAAGGTCGTTCCAATCTACAAATCAGGTAACAAAGATTATCCACTAAATTACCGTCCCATCTCCTTAACGAGTGTGCCTTGCAAAATCATGGAACACGTCATCTACTCCCAAGTAATACATTTCCTAGACTCTATTAATTTTTTTCACCCGTCGCAACACGGGTTTCGCAAAGGCTTTTCTTGTGAAACCCAGCTGGCTATTTTCCTTCATGATCTGCATGCTAATCTTGATTCTAACCTACAGACTGACGTGATTTTCCTGGACTTCGCAAAAGCATTAGATAAAGTACCGCATAAACGTTTGCTTCTAAAACTATCTCAGTTAAATTTAAACTCTGACATCTTACATTGGATTAAAAATTCCTGAACAATCACTCTCAGTCTGTTCTTGTTAACAACCAGTCCTCTCATTCACTTCCAGTTACATCAGGCGTCCCCCAAGGATCCGTCCTTGGTCCCCTCTTGTTCCTAATATACATTAACGACCTACCGCTTCATGTGTCTGGTCATATCCGTATGTTTGCTGACGATTGTGTTATCTATTGCTCTGTGAGTAACATTTTTGATCAACAATCTCTCCAAGATCACCTTAACCACGTACAAGAATGATGTGACGACTGGCTTATGAAGCTAAACATTGATAAATGCAAACTCGTGTCCTTTCATCGCCGCCGTAATCCAATTCTCTTCCCTTACGCTATCGCTAACATACCCGAGAAACCGTAGAGTCATATAAATACCTCGGCGTCACTCTGTGCAACGATCTATCCTGGCGCACGCATGTTACTAATGTTATCTCATCTGCAAACAAAACATTGGGATTCTTAAAACGTCACCTCCGTCACACCCCCCAATATGTGAAATTACTCGCCCACAAATCACTTATCAGGTCAAAGCTGGAATGTGCGTTCGCAATCTAGAGCCCGCACCAAGTATATCTCATCAACGCACTTGAAGCAGTTAAGAATCGCGCTACTAGATTCATTCATTCCTCGTATTCATGTAACGTCAGCATATCCTCCCTGAAAGCAGAATCAGGCTTGCCTAGCCTCTCTCGTCGTCGCGTCACCACGCTTTCCTTGTTTCACAAGTTCTATTATTCTCCGCTTGGTTCCATGCCTTACATCATACCGCCGGCACGCATCTCTCAACGCACTGGTCATCCGCTCCAAGTGGCACGCCCACGCGCCCGTACTGTCACATTTCTTTCCTCATTTTTTCCCCGAGCGGCCTCAGACTGGAACGGCCTTTCCCACAGCATCGCTGCCGTCACCTGCCCATCAACTTTCATGGACAATGTAGCATCTCATATCTCCCTCTGAATATTTATGGCACCCAAGAACTGATCTATGTGTACGCACCCCTTATGTAATACCCCCTGATGGGGGGTCTTTAAGGTAATAAAGTGAAGTGAAGTGAAGTGAAGAGGCTACGCGGCTGACGTCATGCCCTCTCCTACCCTTCTATTCTCCAAGGAGCTTATGCTAACGTTGGCTTATGCGCAGAAAATGAGAGGAGCTATCAATTAAGCGGCTCCGGTGCAGCGTCAGACTTGGCTGCTGCGCAACGGAGGCGCACAGCTGGTCACGCGGCAGCGTCAGTGCGTTTGCCGCGGCTATGATGTCACTCCTCTGGATTGCGCAGACCGGCGAGGCGCGCGTGGTGGCGGCGGAGCCCACGACGGCGGTGGCTCCGGTGTTGCTCCGCCGCGCCAGCTGTGCGCCGTGTGACGCCACTGCTCCTCGCGCTTGCGCAGCACGAAGCACGGCTTATTATGCGAGCCACGCGAAACTGCTCAACCTCGGCCAGTGTAACTCAAGCTACAGAAAAAAAAAAACGAAAAAAAAACGAAGGTAAGCGGCAAAGCAAGGAACCGCCATACACGGCTCCTCATCGTCCTTCTTGTCTACCTTGTTTTTTTTTCTTTTTGCGACGGCATGGAGAAAGCACGCACGCGCTCAGACTGAGATTTGGGAGTGGGGTGTGACTCATAACTCGCAGAGCTCTGATAACTCATTATCTCGCACGCCGCCGAAAAATGATCAGTTATTGTTTTCTTAAAGTTCGAGGAGCGTTGTTTAACAGGTGGTCAAACCTGCTGCCTGCTACGTTCATTCGCGTGCACTTCTCTGAAGTGCGAAATCTGGATTTGCTTCGGCATTAAAACAAAGCGGGATTCACTTCTCACTTCTCCTCTTGCGCTTTGCTCCGACGCTTGTTTTTGTATACTGTATTTTTACGTGTAAGTCCTCCTTTTACTTTGTCTTTGTTCCCATGCTTGTTTTCTGTGTTATATGTTTTACATTCAAGTGGCTTAGGGTTACAAGCAAGCTAGCGGATGTCCGATCATTTCCTTAGACGTTAGTATCTGCATACTTTGTTTCACCTTGGGATGGACCGCTGCAGATGCTTCGAGTCACCCCAGGCAATCCAGCAGCGTGAGCTTAGTAAGATCAGTGTTTTTTTTTTTAGGCATTTGCGTTTATGCGTTTGATAATGTCAGCTTTATGCTGCTTATGCCGAAAACATTGCACAATGTAGCTGTCAAGTGCCAATTTTTACGTTTAGGAATTAGAGGAATGGAATGGAACGATTCAGCCGTTCCAGTAGGGAGAATGGGCACAGTGTCCCCATTCCTAGAAGTTGAAAGGAACTGAATTATCAAAAACTCTCATCCCCGGAATTGAATTGGAATGGAATGGGGGGGGGGGGGGGGGGTGCCCATTCCGCAACACTGGTGGACAGGGTTCGCGTCGACGTCGGTTATAATGCGATGTTTCGCCATTGGTGTTTGGCGAACTTTCGACGACGTGGCGAAACACTCACTGTATTCAGCGAGGAGGTCGTCCAGTTGCCGGCACTTAGGAGCTGGGAGCTCGGGGTCGATGTCGAGCGGCGGCGGCGATGTGCTCTTCTGCTGTGATGACGAAGTTTCCTCAGAGATTGCGGTGACCACGGCCTACGCCTGAAGCTCCTTGATGTGGCCCACGGTGGTACCCTTCGTTAGGTGTTGCGGTTCCTCTCTGAAGTTTGTCACAATAACAGTTGTACGTCCTCCTTGGAGATCTGTTACGCCTCGTGCGGCGCCGATTCCTTTCTCAAGGAGCAGTTGGACGCTGCCTTCCAAAAGAGCTTCCCCGTGCATGGCTGCGTCGGTTATGACGGTGACGAAAACACTCAACCGCGGCGGTAAGTTCACATGGTCGGCGATAACTCGGATCGCGGTTGACGTCGTGTTGGTTTTCACCGGCGGTAAAGCAGGCTTTCGCAGCGTCAGCTGGTTTGCCCCGAGGTCGCTGACGGCGCCATACTCGCAGAGAAAGTCCATTTCGAGGATAACGTCCCTTGAACAGTCTTGCAGAACGACGAAGTTCACAGGGCACGTTTCACCTTGGATCTCGACGCGAGCAGTGCATCTCCCTACTGGCGTGATGAGATGTCCTCCGGCGGTTCGTATTTGGGGTACATCCCACGGCGTCATAATTTTTCGAAGGCGGCGGGAGAGCCTCCCACTCAAGACTGAGTAGTCTGCTCCGGTGTCGACGAGTGCCGTCGCGTCGTGGCCGTCGATGATAACGTCGAGGTTATTCGACACCGTTGCAGAAA